TCATCTCAGTCCTTTTATATAATTATGTCCAATAAAACGTGTTCACCTAAATGTTGACCTAATCTTACAGTTGTGAAATGTACACAATCTTCCACATTCATTACATTGAATGAGGAGATATTTCAATTACTATTGTGGATTCTTCATGCACTGTTTTCTCGAAAAGAGCTGAAAACTAAAATTAAACCCTGTTGACAATACAAGACCCATCGATGGAGCTGAATGGCCATCAGGCTGATATTCACTGTTGGGTGTGAAGATTTATTGCCGAATGGGATGGGGAATTTTTTTTGCTGATCTTACCTGCAGCACCTTATTTTGAGGAATGAATTCCAAAACTTGGAGGAGTTAACCTCAATCTATGTGGAACAAATATAAATATTCAAAGTGCAATTAAAAGTTTAAAAATGAAGTAGCCAATTCTCTTGACTGCCTTTATGTTTTTGATATGAGAAGAAACCGTTCCAATTTTTAATTGACTACCAATAGGATTCTGCTCTTGATGAATAAGGTTCACTTAATAACCTCATGTACAATTTCCTTTAAGACCATCAGTGCTGTTAAACCTGTCAATGCAAAGTAACTGCATTGTGTTACTGAGTGCGTTGCAACCAATGCAAATATATTCCCAAAGCTGCGCCTCCCTAGGTCCAGTGTGATCCAGGTGGAGATGCACAGGGTACAGGGGGAGCCGTACAAATCTTTGCAGTCCCAGGTCTGGAGATACGTCCTATCCCTATACAAGAGCACAGATTCTTCCCAGTCCATGCCACAGTAAAAGAATCAAAATCATATTCCTGAAATCCACAATTTAACAGAACCCAGAGTTCAAATGGTGAATAACACAGGCAAGAATACATGACTGGAAGTGACATTCCATTTGTCCCCTTCATTGTACAGGCAAGGACAAGGGAAAACGGAATTAGCGTGGAAAATAATTATTCTCGTCAATGATAGAGATTCTCCTCCACCCAAAATATTTCACATGAACTTATTAAGTATCTGGGATTATAAATTACTGTGAGATAGTAAGAACTGCTGATGCTGGAGTCAGAGATAACACAATGTGGAGCTGGAGGAACACAGCAGGCCAGAGAGCACCAGAGGAGCAGGAGAGTTGACGTTTCAGGTTGGGACCCTTCTTCAGAAATGGGGAGTTTCAAAATCTCCCCTCCCCTGGCCTCATCCCATGGCCAACCCTTCCTACCATCCCCACCTCCTTAACCTGACACAACCTATCCATCTCCTCTCCCACCTATCCGGTCCTCCCACCTTACTGACCAATCTCCACCACTCCCTACATGCACTCACCTATCACCATCGTACCTACCTTCTCCAGCCCATCCCTCCTCTCTCTGTTTATTTCTGAGTTCCCTTCCCCGTCCTTATTTCTGAAGAAAGGTCCCAACCCAAAGCGTCAACTTTCCTGCTCCTCAGATGCTGCCTGGCTTGCTGTGTTCCTCCAGCTCCATGCTGTATTATAAATTACTGTCCCCTGTTTAAAAGTTCAATTACAGATGTCCTGGAGATGCTGCCCCAGGTGATATCTGGAATATTGGCCTCTGGCACATCAAGGGTAACCGGGTATCAATGTTTGTTCGGATACAGTCTTGGTTCCTACTTATGAAGTCCATGTGGGAAGGGATGATGAACAGAGTGCAGAAACCACATCACTCTCTTTACTAAAGAGCCAACGGTATTGTTTATCCAGGCTGAGATAGGTGATCATTCAAGATGCCATTAAATAGGAGACCCTTGAGAAAATGTAGAAAATGCGACCCGATCTCTTGGTAATGGATGTATGCTGCTGTTCTGACTGCAAGATTGGAAAAGTCATGAGGGAATTTATGAATGAAAAAGACCAAGTGTGTTAAACAATGGTTTCAAATCAGTTGTCCTGGATCTCTTATCCATAGTTCAGATGTTTGAAAGGGATGTGGCCTGCTCTGTGATGGTTACACTCAATAGGGCTATGGGACTCAATCAATGGACATAGCAACAGTGACAATTTCTGCCAAGCTTTAATGAGGCACAGGCAAATGTACAGGGGACACCCCAACATGGCAGAAGGTGGAATTTAAATTCAATTTAAAAACCTGGAATTGACAAAATTCAGTCTCAACGATTGTAACCACAAAATCATAGTTGATTGCTGCAAAAACACATCTGAATCACTAATGTCCTTTAGGGAAGGAAATGTGCTGTCTATTCCCGGCCTGGTCTCTATATGACTCCAGAACCACTGCACTGTTGTTGGATTAACTGCCCATTGAAGTAACCAAATACGCCACTGAGTTTGAGGGCAATTAGCGATGTGCAACAAGTGCTGACCTTGGCAGTGCTACGCACTTCCATAACAGTGGATATCATAAAGTGAGTTTTTACAACAATCAGCATTGGTTTTTTAGTTACTATTACTGACACTGCATTTCACAAATCCAGGATTTTTAATCAAAATTAAATTTCACTGGCTGCTGCAATGCGATGTTAACTGGCTCCTCAGTGCATTCTCTTGAGCCCTGTGTAACCAGTGTCATGACGAATTTCGATGAACTGTGGACTTTTTTTCATTTGTAATGACAGAATTTGTTTTTTGAAAGGGGGTTTATGCAGCCAAAAACAACTGTGGATGTAAGTTAAGATGCTGCCTGGAGAGGGAGTTTTGTGCATAGACAAAAGCTTGTACACCTACTCATACATGCACACACATATACACACACACCAACACACTTACATACATCACACACATACGCACACATGTGTGAATGTTATATGTTATGTGAATAACCTCACATAATCAAACATACAGCCACAGAGCAGCAGTGTATTACAATGCATTATTTGCTCGTCTTGTATTACTCATTTTGAATCGTGCAATTGTCCTTTCCTTTCATTTTAATGAGTGTAAACTGGTTGTGTTGGAGTCCTGTGCACTAAGTTTGTTTGATGCTGGTGGAGTGGAACATTAGAGAAGAAATCAGCACCCTGACTGCTGAAATGCATTGTGGTCTTGAGAACAGGAAGAGAGGATGAGAAAACTTTGGTCGAAACACAGGTTTGCTGTAAATCTGCAAAGTAAGTTTTAAGCTATGGTGAACTGTGATAGAACTATGGCTCCATTGCTCCTTAGGCATTAAAAATGTTACCTTTACTGCAGCATTGGAAACTGGTAAAGGTGTCAGAGACAGCACCTGAAACAATGAAATTAAAATGATTTTCTGAAGAAGGGTCAAGGCCCGAAACATCAGCCTTCCTGCTCCTCTGATGCTGCTTGGCCTGCTGTGTTCATCCAGCTCTACACCTTGTTACCTGAAACAATGATCTGGATTTGTTCAAGTATAAACTTGGGTGCGAATTCCAGAATAAAAATAGTTTAAAAATTGGCTTCGAACAGTAGAGTGATGTAGTTAAAAACTAAGCCTCCTGCACTTGATTATTCTGAGGCAGGCTCTCACTTATGTATTAATTCCAAGATCACACGAGATCAGACTGGTGCAACCATAGGCCTATCATTGTGATATCACTCTCTTAATTACTTCCTTAACAAATTTCCTGTCCATCCCTCCTCAGCTGCTAAGATTGCTGCAATCACTCCCTACCTGCCAATGATAGATGAAGTGGAAAAAGGTTAGAAAAGTGATGTAATGGCAGATTTCTAATTTGTGTTTCATTTTTAAGCAAATGATATACATTGCTCTGCCTCAAAGTTACTAACCTCTGCAGTTATACTTGATGCTATTTCAGTTCAAAATGCAAATGTGCTCAAAACGTCATTGTGTTCCAACTGCAATTCAACACGGAGTGTTCGAGGTTAAAGCAGTCAGACAATAGGTAAAGTCTCTACCTGGTGTGGAGCTCAATCATTCGAAACCAGACTCCCTGAGCAGGACACATTGGAAAATACTTGAACAATACTGTTCTCAATTTTTACATCCCACCCCTGAGCAAGTGGAAAAATCACCCATTCTTGTTAAAGAATGGACCGAGGACAATTGTTATTTTCTAGGTTCTCACAAAATGACCATCAAGAGAATACGGTGAGTATTTTATCAAAGCATGACATTAAACTCATGTAAAATTCTGAGTGTGACAATGTTCTGGGGACTTTGGTTGTTGTGAATCATAAAGATTCTCTGCGGCTTTCAGAGTACTTCAAAATTGACAGCTGATTGATGTAATGTAGGGATGATCTTGAAATTAATGGGGGCTTTGAGGGCAAATTAACAGCATTGACCCCGGTACACTGCTGAATCTGATGATAACTTCAGTATTGAACACAACTGCTGATTAAAGTGGTCACCCTGAATTTGCATTTAGTCATTCACTGACTGAGTACATGCTGACCTACATACACCAGCTGTCTATAGGCAGCAAACAGTGAAATTCATTGCTCTGACAAGAACGTCTCATCTTGTACACTCAATGTCAGAAATCCCAGATAAAGATAAGCCTTTATCAATATAACTGGGCTCATGACAGCCTGAGCAGTAAATGCTGAACAACCGACCAGGCCCTGAAATATTCAATTTGTGAAATATTGTTACATTTGTCTATGGTTAATTACCGTGATTTTTGAACTCATCTTGTTACATCATTAAATAATGGCTCTTTCTGTGGATATTTCTGCTTGTATCCCAAACACTGTAAATTTTTTATGGTATGATTTAATTATTTGTGATTCTCATTTCCTGCTTAGTTGCCAGTGAGAATTATTAATTTGATTGGCTGCATGGACAGCTAAATGTCTCACAGTAACTCAGCAACAGGTTCCCACATAAACTGTTCCACCATCAACGTGGACATTGAAAAGTGTAAGCTGACCGGTGTGGTTGTGAAATCTCTCAATACAGTTCTCTTTGATGTCAGTTCCAGCGATAAGATGATCATTTTGGCGCTGTGCACAAAACCCAAGTTGATTTTTCGGTAGTGGGTGGAACGTGTGCTTTTTGCTTGAGTTCTGGTCTAATCTCTGACTCAACCCTTTCCACTCTTTCCCTCAGGTTGCGACCAGCGATCCTGAGAGTGAAGGTGATGAGAATATGGAGCGAGGTAACTGGTCCTCAAAAACTGATTACTTGATCTCAGTGATCGGCTGTGCTGTGGGTCTGGGCAATGTGTGGAGATTCCCTTACCTGGCTTACAAAAATGGAGGAGGTACAGTAACCAAATCTAAAATGCAGCAGAGAGAAAACAAAACCAAGGGAAAGAATTAACAGTTTATAAAGAACATTAAATTAAATGAAAATCAAAATGGTTTATTGCAGTTGGTAAATAATACAGGGTTAAACAACATTGATATAAAGAACAGTGAATTCAATCTTAAGCTGTTTGTAGAGGACCAGTTTTCCAAAGAATGACAATCTCAAACAAATTTCCAATCTGACCATTCCTTTATTTAAAAAAAGGAAGGAGCTCCTCATTTTTGAGGTGAGATTCTGATTAGGGCTCTCTCAGTAATCGGGAACCGTACTTCCATTCTGACAGTTGTTTCTGACAGTTATTTCAGTGCAGAGAATTGTCGGGGCTGGTGAGGGTATGGGGCATGGTTAGGGAAATCAGGCCCCCCTTTCACAGCTCTCAGCTGCCATATCTTGAAATGTAAAGGTTGTTGCAGCCTCTTTGACAGCTGCTGTCAGGGAGTAAGTATATAAAGGAAGTGTGATGTTCTGGTGCTGGGTGGGGAGGGTGTCAGATGGGTTTGGGGCACTAGGTACGTCTGTTGTCATCTGGGTAGTATGCCAGTGTCTTAATTAAGTCGGATACAAACTGAGTAGTGGGTAAGGTGACAGCTGGGTAGGAGATGGGATGCCAGAGAAGCAGAGTGCCAGGTGGACCGTGTGCCAGGGAGCCAGTTAAATAGAGTGCCAGATGGGAAGGTGCCAGTGGGGTAGTGAGCCAGAGGTTAGGCTGTCTAGTGGGCAGCAGGTATTGTGCTCAGTAAGTAAGGTGTCAGGATGTAGGATGTTAGTGTGCTAGGTAGGTGAAGTGCCAACTGGGAAGGGTGCCAGATAGGTAGGATGTCTACTGGGTAGAGTGTAAGTGTGAAAATGACATGGGAGACGGCTCAGTGATGCAGTATTCAGGGTAGGTTGGGGTGGATTGGAGAACTCCAGTCTGGTGGAGTCAGGGAATATGAGTGTCAGGTCATGGCAGATGGGGTCAAGACCAGCTCTGGCATGGGAGAGGGGGTCAGGCAAACAGTGGTAGCGCAGGGGGTGTCAGGGGTCAGGCCCAGAGGCAGTGGCAGAGGGAAGGAGCAGTAGGGAATTGGATTTAATGCTAGCAATAGGACAGAGAGGACTAGGAGGTTAGGGGTCAGGTCCGGAAATGGGGGAGTTTTGGTGGCTCAGGTCTGGTGGCATCAGATTGGAGGTTGGGGATTGGGTGCAGTGGTGGGCGTTGCGGTTGGGGATAAGGTGGCACTGGGTGGGGGAAAATTGTTGTTGGCAGTCAGGTCTGGCAGCTGCAGTTGCGGGTGGTCAAATCTGGCAGCTGCAGTGGGTATTGTGCTCAGTTCTGGTGCAGGGGAAGTGCCGAGTGTGCCCAGCAGTCGGTGTAGTGGTTGGGTGCAGAGTGAGGCAGGGGTGTCAGATCCCAAGGGAAAGTGGGGAGTGGCAGGTCAGGGTCTGGGAGGAGTGGATGTAAATATTCTGGTGGAAGGGTTGTTGGGGTTGCGTAAAGTAAGTAAGGGTCCAGTTACATTGGTTTCAGGATTTTAGGGCGGTCAGTCAGCTGGACAGCTATTTTAGAATGGAGAGTGATGCCAACAGCATGGATTCAATTCCCACACTGTCAGAGGTTACTATGAAGGACTCTCCTCAGCCTTTGCCTTCACCTGAGGCATGGTGACCTTTAGGTTAAACCACCACCAGTCCTCTCTCTCTCGAATTGAAAAAGCAGTCTTATTATTCACTGGGACTATGGTGACTTTCCTTATCCCTAATCAGCAGTCAGGTTGTACATTTTATCATCTAATTTTTCATGAGCAACTATTTTAGTTCATTTCGTCAGAAACCTCCAAATTCTCTGATTTTCAGGGGTTTACAGGTGTTGGGAAGTTGTCAAGAGAAGGCTTTAATTTCTCAGGGAATCCCTTTGGAGAGTGCTATGGTGGGATATCCACAGGGTCAACTCCCATTGACACTGGAATAGCTCCTCTCTGTCCAACACAAAATTGAGGCCTATAGTTTTGTTTTGAAAGAATATGTCTGTAGTATCAAGGTACATTTTAGTGTCATGAGTTAGAGTGAGAAACATCAAATAAACGTTCTTCAAGATGAATATGAATAAACCTCGTCAGGTATGTAGATTTGATGATGTATATACCTGTTAAGATGTTATTGAGATAAATGCATGAATTGTACAAACAGGTATGTTTCCTGCAGAATACCTGAAATCTCATTTATCAAACTCCTCAGACCAGCTTTAGGGTTAGGTTTGGGGTCACATCTCCTGAGATCAGGTGCTCTTCACAATTCTATACATAAACGTGTAAAAATGTCTTGATTCCTCAAAGAGAAACGTTGCATGTTGATCAGACAGGAGGGTGAATCTTCTAAGGTAACAATTGTCTTGGTAATTTAATTGATTTACTGCATTTTCAGAATTGGAGCTGACTGCTAAACTACGCCCAGAGATTCCAATCATACTGTCATTAGGACCAATGAAATAAGAGAAAATTGATTCCTGGTGAAGGGAAAAAGAGATGAAATTATAAATAATTCTCGATAGATAGACAGATGGTAAATTAAATAGCCAAGGAGACAGAGGGACAGACACATTTCAGAATGGTTTCAGAAGTTCACCTTGAAGATTCGCTTTCGTCTTTTCCAATCTAATGCATTCCTGAAGTTGTTTCCTCTATTTTCCAGGTGTATTCCTTATTCCCTACATGCTCATGCTGGCACTTGTTGGGATGCCACTGTTTTTCTTGGAATCTTCCTTTGGACAGTTTGCCAGCCTCAGTCCTATAGCAATCTGGAAAGCTGTGCCCATGTTACAAGGTTAGTCTTTATTCAGCAACAGTTGAAATAAGTTAAGTTTTCACAAGCAAACAATCCAAGTTTTCCTAACTTCTTCTTGTAGCTAATATACTCCAATTCAGGTAACGTCCTGGTAAACCTCTTTTGCACCCTCACCAAAGCTCCCCACCCTTTATATGGTGTAATGATCAGAATTGCACACAGTACTGAAATATGGCCTAACTAACTCTGATGGAGACAGAGAAACAGACAATGCCCTGATCAATGAAGGCAAGCATGCCATAAGCCTTCTTTACCATCTTATCCACTTGTGTTGCCACTTCTGGGGAGCGATGGACTTGGGCCCCAGGATTACTCTGTTTATCAATAGTTCTCAGTGTCCTGCCTTATACTGTATGCATTTCACCTCCCAAAATGCATCACCTCAAACTTATCTGGATTAAACACCATTGATCATTTCTCTGATAAACTTTCCAATTAACCTATACCATATCCTATGGTAAACTTTCTCACCGTCGATGATTCCACGAATTTTTGTGTTTTTATAAATAAAATATATCTATATTAAACAACAGAGGTCCCAGCACTGATCCTTGTGAAACATCACTGGCCACAGACTTATAGTCAGAAAAACACACCTCCACAACTACCATCTGTCTTCTGTGACCAAACCAATTTTGTATCCAACCTACCAACACACCATGGATTCCATGTGACTTAGGTTGCCATACTACCGTGGGACCAGGCTACGATGAGGCACATTTTCAAATGATTTATTAAAGTCCATGTAGACAACGTCCATTGTTCTACCTTCATAAAACATCTTCATCACTTCCTCAAAAACTCAGTCAAGTTTGTGAGACAAGACATCCTCCGCATAAAGCCATACTATTCTTAATAAGCAGACACACAAAGTACTTCAGTACTGCTGTATTATCTTAGTTCACTAACATACAGCTCTGACAGGGAAGAGCTGTCAGAACAATAATTCTCCTATAAGTGTCTGGCAGCTTAGGGAACCAGTCAGTACAAAACAGGAAGTGATATGACTGAGGTAACCACCACCCTTAAGAAACCAATCACATGCCACTTAGCCAATCTGACATCAATCATCTGCTCTTCATCGATTGGCAAGCCAGTCAGAACTTGCGATGCCACTGACCACATGCAAGGGTAATAGTTAAGAAGGGATAGTAAGCTGTAATTCATGGTCGCTAGGTGCATAGTAAGAAGAGAACAGAGGAACAACTGCAGTTAATGTAAAAACAGACATGTGGCTAGTCAGCCAGAAGCTGGGACTTGGTCTTCCAAAGTGAACTAACTGATCCATTATTTGTATTATGTATTTCTCTTTATACTTATTGTAACATATTGATTAAATTCTGTGAATCTTGTAAATATGTACTTTTGCACAGGCTGATCTTATAACTGGGGAAGACGAAGAGATTTGTAGTCTGGCTCACTCAACTCAATCTAAACGTTTAATTCACTGATGTCTTATAGTTGAGGTGAAATTCAGCAGTCCACAGTATACAGTTTCCACAAACATTGATGTGGAGTGAGTTGAGGCAGCGACATTACCTCCAGCTTTGGACATTCAAGACTGTCTCACTGGTCTCCATAAATTTCCAATTTCAATCTAATTACAGCAAAACACAATTGGTTTACTGACAAGCCAAATCCATGTCCAAGAGACGATTTCAACTCAATAGTTCCCAAACTAATCTACTCTTCCCTGTTGTATATTAAGGTGTGGGGCTCACTATGATCCTTGTCATTACAACTGCCACGGGTTCCTCGACCTGCATCCTCGCCTACAGTCTGTACTACCTGTTTGCTTCCTTCCAGTCACCCCTGCCGTGGGCAGATTGCTTCAGTTGGTGGGGAGCAGATGAAACATGCAGCAGGACTCCTAAAGGTACAGGGCTCACTTCGATTGGGGAAACTATAGAGACCAACTGTTTATTGTTCATTCTGTCTCTGAATGAAGGAGAGAAATGGACAATGGTTTCAGTGATCATCCTCATTGTGATCAAACAGCAGAAAGACTTGGATAGAAATCAGCAGCAAGGATTTTGCCACTGAGTCACTGGGGTTATAAGATAAACAGTCAGAAATAAAAATTGAATCTGTGTTCTGAAGATGGGTCACTGGACCCAAAAAGTTAACAATGCTTTCTCTCCACAGAAGCTACCAGACCTGCTGAGGTTTTCCAGCAATTTCTGACTTTGTTTGTGAATAAAAATTAAAAGGTGGGAATAAATTAAAGTAATACTTGATCTCCTAAAATGGTACTCATGCACAAAGTACCAGATCATGTGTCTCTTTTGATGTATCACATAGTCTATAACATTTTGAGTTTTATTTTTTATTGTCTGTCTCATGATGACACAGATTGGGCTGTGAATGAAGTCTGATAGTTAAATACTTGTTACAGTCTCATCCTACTAAGCTTAACTGTTAAAATTGAATGCATATAGTTCAGTCGTAAGTATCAGTACAACACAAACAAAGGAACACATTTTTGTTCAAATGAACATATTTATGTTCTGACCCCACTCTCAAATCACATAGGTGGGATGTGGGAAAAGTGAACAGAAGTGTGTTGAACTTAAAGATACTTGCTAGAAATTGATAGAAAGGTGGGGAATGTATGGATTAAATGATGGCAGTGAGGGATGAACCAATTTATGAGCAGAATCCATTTGTTCAGAATCTCAAACCACTGTGTCAACCAGAACATACTTCCATGTGTTAAGCATCATTTTCCGGCAAAGAAATAGAGCCACAAACCTAGAAAGAATTAGTGGAAAGGGTAATGCTGTGCCAAAATCTCTGAAGAGACAAGCAAAGCTTCATAAACCCGTTACCAGTGATCTGTACATGTTGTTTCAACAGATCACCGTTATCAATGTCAAGGGTCAGAAATCACACAACACTAGGTTATAGTCAACGAGGTTTATTTGAAATCACAAACTTTTGGAAGTCTTCTCCTTAGTCAGGTGAAGTCCTCAGAACCCTGAGGAAGGGTCACTCAACCCGAAATGTTAAATTTGATTTCTCTTCACAGATGCTGCCAGATCCACCGAGCTTTTTCAGCAACTTCTGATTTTGTAGCCCCTGGATTTTAATTGGTTGAGATCAGTGTCTGAGAAGTGGAGTTGTATTGGAGCCTCCAGTGAGGCCCAGAGCTGCACTGAAACATTCCCTTTGACTCACTCATCACAGCCACTTACCTTCCTGGCTATTTGTCCAATTAAAGGCTGTTTCTCTCCCGCATTAGCTACTGATTGGCTCAAGCCCTTCCACAGCTAATGTGAGAGGGGAACAGCCTGTGACAAGGGAGCTGCTCCTCACTGATTCTGTCTCTCTCCCTCTGGGAACGATCTTGATCTGATCTGATGGAACACTGAGGTGGACAGTGCTGCTTTAACCTGGGTCCACTTGCAGGCACAGAGCCCAGTGATTAGAACTGACGGCACCGCTCTCTCCCGGGCCTTGCTCTGACCCATGTGTAACCTCCTCCATGGAATTAAAGAGTCATCCAGAGTGAAACAGTGACTCTGATTATAATCATTAGAAATGGCAGCATCATTCCCAATGAACTGTAATTCTGAAACACATTCCACATTTTCTAGATCCACTCTGCAACCGCACTCTGGATGATGGATATTTTGAAATCGTTAATACAACATGGCTGCAAGCAAACAATGAAACTTGTCCAAATGGATCAGAAATCTCTGTTCCTCACCAGGGTCCAAGTGAGCAATACTGGGAGTAAGTACATTGCTGCAGAGAGCTGCACCTACAACCTGCACAGCTGTGCCAGTAGCTTCTATTGGGATGGTTAGTTGGTGCATGGTCTCTTTAATGAGAGAAAATTTATTTGATTTCAATGCAGGTATTATTTATATCATACTCCTGTTGCAAAATAACATTACAACTGAGGCCTTTCATTTTTTAACAGTTCCTTGCTTTCTAACACTGCAGGTTTATTTTCACAACATTTATACAGTGATCATTTATTGAACATTTCTACTTACTTATTATGGAAGAGTTTTGCCACAGGAATTCCTAAATATTAAATGGATGAAATGATTTGTGACTGATATTTCTTTTTCTGTGTTTGTAATTGAATATTGTATTTTATTTAATTGATACAACTGGGAAGTAAGTTTAGGGAAGCTGTCTGGTAGCAGGTATCAATGATGGAGCTGAATTATTGGGAGACTCCATGACTGACCCAGGTAGTTTTAATAGTGCAAGGTAAGGCAGTCAATGAAGTATTACCGGTAACCCCTTCAAATCTAAGAAGGTCTCTGGGGAATCTCATTAACACTCATGGTTGAAACGAAGTGTGTAATAGAACCACTTTTTGGTCATTTGTGTAAATATGTATACACCAGAACCGACTGGTTCAGTTCAATGTTGACTCTCCCTGTGCTCCGTGCTGTTTTTGGACATGTAACGAAAGGGAAGGATTGGTGATATCTCTATCCAAATACAATCGGGCTTCCAGTAAGCTCAGAGAGGAATTGCCTGTCTTTTATTTGCTGAGAAATAATTTTAAGCATCTTGACCTTGGAAAGGGCTGTTTGTACATGTGGGTGAACTGACCTTTGAAGGTGGCTGCATTAATGGGTATTATTGGGTTACTTGGAGAGGGCAGTCTTGGTCATGAATCTTTTGCTGCATATGTAGCTGGCGGAAAAGATTTTTCATTCCTCAAAAAATCAGGATGTTCCTGATAAGCTTGCCATCGGGCAATGAGGGAGAGCAATAGAGTGATTTCTTTCACCGAATCAGACCCAAAAGCAGATTAAACACTGAAGAATTTGCTCCTCTTCTTAAACCAAAAGGCATTCCACTGTCATTCTGTAAGATGAACAGTACAGCAGTTCCAAGATATCGGAGATTACAGAGAGTTATCAGCATGGAACAAAGGCTCAGTGAAGGTGTTGGAGAGTTCATTGTGGCTTTGAGAAAGCTGTCCAGCCATTTTAATTTTAGAAGTCACAGGACACCAGGTTATAATCCAACAGATTCATTTGAAATCACAAGCTTTCAGAGCACTGATCTTTCGTCAGGTGAAGTGAATTGAGAATATTACACACTTTGTTTAAACCATGAGTGTTGGTGAGATTCTCCGGAAAGCTTATTGAATTTGAAAGGGTTCCTGGCAGTACTGCATTGACTGCCTTACCTGGGTCAGTCACAGAGTCTTCCAATAATTCAGCTCCTTCATGATACTTGCTCCCAGACAGTTTCCCTCAATTCACTTTTAATTTCAGACAATTTAAAGGGAGAGAGAGCTTTACAGTCGGATTTGTGTACAGGTAAAAAAGTGTAAGCATTTGCGCTGAGTTCCTGACACAGTTTGCCAAACAGCATTGTCCATGGATATGGCAGAACAGAACTTGACACAAATCAGAGGTGACAATAGTGAGGCGTCTGCTCAAGTAAATAAGTTGTGGCTGAGTAATCCAAAGGCAACAATGGAGACAAAGTCCTGCTTCCGAAACTTAGACCAACATAGGGCATAGAATTGTCCTTTTGTGAATGCAGTATTACAGTTACAAGAAGAAGGATCATTTTCAGCAAGGAATTCCACATGAAGCTACATGGAGAAAATACGAACAGAAGGAAATGACTGTCCTTGCACATGGTTGTCAAACAGCATCAGGTCAATGAGAGGTCAGTGGAGATTTAAGCAATGAGAAGAATAAGGACAATAACTCATTTTGTTTGGTGTTGACTTTCCATTTCACTGTACACTTTCTAATCTGTCCTGCAAAAATATCCCAAAAAGTTTGATATTTAAAAAGAAATAAATAGAAACTGAAATAAATCATTAAGTACTGTATATCAAATTTAATGTTAATGTTGTCAACAATTCAGTTCTGAAGTAAAACTGAACCCCTGTTTGAATTAAATAAGGTTTAAATGCATGTAAATTTGCCTCTTTCTGTCTAACATTGTCTAAAGTTTTCAAGAAGATTTGTAGTTCAAGTTGTGGATGAGGTTGTAGATTTGCTCGCCAAGCCGGTGGAATCCCCACTATCAGGACTGATTGAAGAAACGGTAGTGCAACAGTTAGAATGGACAGCGCTCTTCACGAAACAACCCAAACTTTGAGTCCGATATGTAGATGACACCTTCGTAATTATTAAACACACAAAACTAGAAGAAATCCACCGACACATAAATAACATCCTTACAGGGATAAAATTCAGGAAAGAAGAAGAGAACAACAACTGACTGCCCTTCCTGGACATAATGGTAGAACGCAAGAACTACGGGGAACTCCAGACTAGTGTATACAGAAAGATCATACATACGGACCAGATACTCAATTACACCAGCAACCACCCTAACGACCACAAATGGAGCTGCATCAGGACACTATTTAAATGATCCACAACACATTGTAGCAAGCTGGAACTACGCAAGGGAGAACAGGAGCACCTATACGGAGTCTTCAAAAGGAATGGATACCCGAAAAGCACAGTACGCCATTACTTCCGAGACAGACCACAACAGGAAGACACAACATGACTCACTAATCTCCATCAAGGACATCAAGGACATTTCCGAAATGACCACAAGACTACTTAGAGACCTAGGTATCAGTGTAGCCCACCTACCGACAACCACCCTGCAACAGCTATGAATGATCGTGAAGGATCCCATACCCAAAATGAGCAAAACTGGGCTAATGTACAAAATACCATGCAAGGACTGTGAGAAACACTGCATAGGCTAAACTGGAAGAAAATTGACAATACGGATACATAAACACCAACGAGCTACCAAGCGACACGACCGATTCTCACTTGTTTCATTACACACAAATAACGAGGGACTCGAATTCAACTGAAACAACACATCCACAATCGTACAAGCCAACCAGATACACACCAGGGAATTCCTGGAGGTCTGGTATTCCAACTGGAACTCCATCAACAAACATATTGAATTAGACCCTGTGCACAAACCACTGAGAAACAGAACTGGAAATAATCCCAACCATCCCAGCAAACCGAGGCATATGAATAACAAAGGGGACAGAGAACCGACGCTTCACCAGAGGCACATTGATGATGTTGCCTAGCAGGGTGACAAAACATTTGCAACCAAACCCACCGGCTCGGCCAGCATGTCTACAGACTCTTACAATATCTGTGTGTAATGGACAGTGTCCTTGTATAATACGTTTTTTTGCTGTCTTTTCTTTTTAGTAAAGTGGTTTTACTCCATTCCAGTTCAATGGATGAGACAGGGGAGATAGTCTGGTATTTAGCTCTCTGTCTTCTCCTGACTTGGCTGATAACAGGGGCAGCATTATCGAAAGGAATCAAATCTTCAGGAAAGACAAGTGATTGGTCTTGAATAGAGCTAAAACTAGTGTCAAAGTCCAGATATCTGCAACAAAGAAGTAGAATTTATAAATCATTTTATGAAGTGACTGGTTTATTTCCCAGTGGATGTGTCTCTGGGAAGTGGCAGATCCATAATTCATCAACAACTCAGGCCTGAGGGAAATGTTAGTTCAAATTTCTGGTCTCCATATCATTGGAGAGCAGACGTATGCCATAAGATGGCCATTGGGATCCTATGGACACCCTGGTGCACAGATGAACATGTGAATTTCCAAAGGAATTGAAAATTCTGAAAGGAAATTTCTTTGTTCACTGGGACCTACCATGACTATCTCCAATTCAATTCCAATGTACCCAGCTGGAACAGAATCCTTATTGAGACCTCACTGGCCATCGGTTCCATTCTGATCCATTCGTCGTCCCTGAGAGACTCCTGCTCCTCCTTAGCCACCTCCCATGGAAACTTGGTCTCTCTTCTCCTGTGCATCTTCATCACATTGGCTCCAGTGCTGAACCTGAGAACCAAGCAACTCTTTCTATTTGCTGAGGCTCTATGGTGTAGCTCCTACTTTCAGCCTGTGTCAGTACCAGTAATCAACAGCATTTCACCTCTACTGACTGTAGACCCCATTAGGGGGATCAGACTGTCATTAAGAGGATCAGACTTTCTTCAAGAAGGTAGGTTGTCTTGAAGATGAGAAGACTGTCTTTAAGAGAAATACACCATCTTTAAGTAGAGCAGATTGCCTTTAAGAGAACAAACTATCTTTAAGAAGGGCAGATTGTCTGCACTATCTGATGCCAGCCATTGCTGCCCTGCTGTTGCTAAGTGTTCAGGCACCCAACAGCCCAGGTCTTGCTCAGGCCAATACTGCAATCAGGAAACTGAAGGGGCAACTGCGAGTTTGCAAATGCCTTGTCTCAAGAAAAGGCATGGAAGGTCTCAAACTGCAGCTGGCATTTCTGAAAATTGAACCAAACCAGGTTTGAGCTCCAACAATTCCTCCACCCTCTTGAATTGTGTCTGTCATTGTCAGGGTTTCAGTCACTCTCACTTCACCTCTAGAATTCAGCTCTTTTTTCCATGATTGAACCAAGGCTATAATGAGATCAGGAGTTGTGTGGCCCTGGTAGAATGCCAACTAGGTGTCACTGAGCAGGTTATTACTGAGGAGGTACTGGCTGATAGCGGAATAGCTTGATACCGTCTCTGATATGTAGATTCTGGGGAAACTTCCAATCGCTCTGGAAGGCTGGATAAGGCTGGGGGAAGTCATTGAACAGATCAAGGTCAGGGTTTTCTGATGGTGCAATGAGATTTGTCTGGAGCATGGGAATGGGAAAGAAAGCTGATGAGTAAATGAAAGGAAAAAAATACATTCATCACACTCTGGTCAAATGTTTTGTTTAAATGTCTTGCGTTCTTGACTGAAATATACGATTGTTAAAAGGATATTGTGTTCTTCAGCTTCACTTCAAATATGTAGTTTAATTTTGAATATAGTCATGATGCAGTTATTAATTTTCCAGTTACTTTCTGCCTAATTCACTGCTTGATGACACTTCGATTAGTTTACCTTTCAGCTGGATCCAATACAGTCAACATTGCATCAGTAATGCAGGGAAATCTGACCTGTTTCTCTCTACATTCAGGTGGTTTATTTTACTGTGATATTCCCTTACGTGGGCTTACTCCTGATCAGAGGGCTTACTCTGGAGGGAGCATTGAAAGGAATTGAATTCTACATTGGAAGCTAGTCAGACTTCTCCAAACTGGCTGATGCTGAGGTAGTTGCAACATTAGATTTCACTGAAATTCAAGGTTATTGTTTAGTCTAATTGTCTTTTCTATCACTTTGATTTTCTTACTGTTTGGGGTAATCATGATGTCAGTACAAAAGATAAGGCTGTGACATTCGTAGCAATCTTCAGC